AAGACCTCAGCTTTATTTTCTTCTGACTCAGAACCTGAAAGATTGTTGCACTCCAGACGTAGAAAAGCCAAAATTGCATTAAAAAAAGGACAAGCTTTTGTAGCTTTTAATGAATTTCATATCCCTTATGGGTAGTGTATGATTTACAATATACATTTGATGAAATCACCTACGTGAGTGTCAAGTGGGGCCGCTTGTATGAGATCTTGGCGAAATCTCTAGAGCACTCATCAGAAAAACCAGGCACGCGCATGGCCTAATAGCGCACTACATCGTCAACAACAAGAACTGTAGAGGTGTGATGCGAGTGATATACCTCTAACATACATTAAGTGTTTTTTGTTCATATAGCTTCCTACACCAATGTTACGGTGTGTTAAGTATTATCATTCTAGGACTGGTTCATATAACTTGCTATACTAGTTTGATGCATTACATCTAAAATATTAACCGAGACAAATTTTAAAAACTTTTCTTGAATTTTATAAAATTATTTTTTATATATGTTGGGGATTGTTGTTGTTATTATTTATTTAAAAAAATTATTATTATTATTATTATTATTATTATTATTATTTAAAATATCTTGACAAATAAATTATATCATATTATTTATTTTAAAATTAAATAAATTAACCATCATCAAAATATTATTTTCATTAATATTCAATAATATTAAAGTTTCATTTATTCTGTAAATAATTACTAGTGACAAGTTTAAATTCAAATAAATTTATTTTGAATGAGTAACTTATATTGGTCTTATGTATTAAAATCTAAATACATTATTTGGAATGAGAAATAAATTTTGTTTTATTATATACATTATTGGAATGTTTGGTAAGACATGATCCGTTGAAAGCTTTCAAAATAAATAATCTCAATTAATTGAATTGGAGTAATATAATCAATTTTAATTATTATTTTAAATTCCAATAAGAAACTTTAGGAAGATGATATAAGAAACTGTGATTAAAAGCTTTGAACATAATATATAAAAATAGCACGAACAGTAAACATAAAGGGTGCCAATTTACATTTTTATTTTCACTATTTTGATTTTTTATTCATAAAAAATTATGGGTCAAACTATGGGTTAAAAATAAATAGTAATCTTGCAAATTCTGTATCTTCGATTTTTCAAGAAGAATTTGTTAAATTTTGAAATATTAGCATAATACGCAGAGAATTCTTAAAGACAGTGCGGTCAACACGTCTCAGACTATCTCATCAGTTTTTATTTAGCAGGTCTTCATAGTGAACTATTTAATAATAAGCATCAACAACAACAAATACATAATCATAAAAAATAATAAGAATAAAAAACAACAATAACAAGCATCATCTTCAACAACGCATCAACAACAACAACAATAAGAATCACCAACAACAATTAGATAAACATAAATAACAATGAAAAATGTAGGTATTGTAGATGCATGGGATGAAAAAGTTTATAAGTAAAAAAATATTGTCAGAATCTTAAAATTCTTCCTCGACAGCTAAACCAAAGCTAGTCAAGAACAAAGAACACGATGCAGGCTTCCTCCTCGACGGTACGAAAGCAGAGACGTTAGTTGAAAATGTTGTTGTTTCTTCAGGTTTTAAGATGGTGTTGAACGTTTCGTTAGGGTCGAAACTGGTTTTGTATCGTTGGGGTTGAAATGGTGATGTATGTTTCGTTATGGTTGAAAATCGCGTTGTTTCGTCAGGGGTTGTTTCTCGATGGAAATGGAAATATGCAACTGAAGAGACAAGTTATCTATCTGTGTAAAGTGATTAAAGGATATCACCATAGTTGTTTTTCAAAACCGTTGTGATATATGATGAGATTTATAAAAAAAATGTCATGTCTTAAGCAAATAATTTTTTAAAAAGATATATCACGACGGTGTTTATAGTTAACCGTTGTGATATCATATTTACATTAATGATATTTTATAAAAAACGCAAGGTTTTAAGTAATTAAAAAAAAAAGAAGATATCACAACGGTTTGTTTAAATAACCGTAGTGACATATCTTTCTTTGTTTAAATAAAAATAAAATGCTAATCTAATTTCTGAAGAAATCACGAATTAGCAGACGCTGAGAGTCGAACTCATGAAATATCAACTGATATCACAACAGTTGTTTTAAAAAATTACAATAACCAATTATCGACAATTAATTAAAAAATAAAAAATTATACAGGCGGCTGAATTTAGAGATATCACCACGGTCCTTCGAAGGACTGTTGTAATGGTGGCATCGTTGTATATACTTTTTGTAGTAGTGGAAATTGCCCCATTCTAGAGTAAAGGGGTCGAACCAAGGATTAACTTGGTGGAAGCTAATGAGCCCTTGATTACGAAAATTTTCCTAAGAGGTGCGCCTTGGTTGGAACAGATCAAGGAATAATCAAAGAGAAGATTTTTATGATTTATACTCGGCACACAATTGAAATACCTTCATGAATGCCTAGGACCCCATATGAAGCTAGGAAGGAGTAATTTTTAAGTGTTTAAAGACATATATCTTAAATTCAGAAAAAGGCAGCCGCAATCATATTCTTGTGAACAAACACTCATAGAGTGGGGTCTTGCAGTCATCAAAAGAACTGCATATTCTATTTTACGGCCCCAATGGAAAAGAATACCATTCCAAAGGACTGTCAATCACAATTCCAGCAACATCTATAACAACATCCATGCTTAGAAAAGATGGAGTGCACTTTAATTTTTCATCCACACACTCATACTTTGTTCCACCAGAATGGTTTCAAAGATCTAAGTAGGCCTTCACATCAGTGTCGTTGGGCTCACAATTATAGGTCTCCAAGCGAAGCTGATTATAACCCTTAGTGCATTCTCTCTTCTGCCAATTGACTTGCATCTCCTCCTCAGTTAAAAGATGGGAGGGGGCATATGGATCTCTACGTGATTAACCCCTTCACCAGCATTTGATAAAATGGCTTCTAATGAGCTAGGCGAAGCTTTTTCCTCAAAAGAATTCCCATATACCTTTTTCTGAGCCAGATTCATCAAATAAAGATATGATTTATCGTTCTAGGTGATTGCGACTAAAAGCAGGGATGTAAGAATCAGGGGATATCCTCATTATATAGGCAGATGAAATTCCACCTTTAGAGCCGCTCACTAGGTCAACCATACTATCACTCATCTGGGCTAGAAAGTTAGAAATGTTAAAGATTAAAACTTGAGTTTAGGGTGGTAACTGATTATGTGAGATTGGTGAAGCAGGAGAAGAGAAAGAAAGGAAAAGACTTTGAGCAAGACACAAAAGATCGCTTCTAGTAGTATTCTCGAGGAAGTTGAAACGAAAACAATTTTTTAGAAAGTAATCGTAAGGTTGAATGTCAAAGGTTGCAAAAACTTCCAAACACTAAATTAGTCTTATTTATAGGTATCAATGACAAAATGATTCAAATCAATTAGAAAAAGAAGTCACAATATCAACAACTAGATTTCTCTTTGTGTATACACGCTAACTCGAGTGCACTGTAAATTGCGTTATGCCCTAACTGGTCACGTCACGGCTTGTGTCATAAAAATGCTATGAAACGTTTCAATGATGAAACTGCATTTAATGCACTTGTTCTCCACTACTTTTTCAATTGATTATAGGCATTTCAATCCTATTTCACATCGACCAACATCCTCGAGGCCGACCAATATTATTTAAGGCTTCCCACGACTCCTTTAGTGCCCAACAAAGCCTTGGGGCAACTGTTATGGGTTGACCCAATATCCAAATAGTTAAGACCCAATTCATCACAAATCCACTCTACTTAATCCAAGGTATAAAATCAGTTCACACGCAAAGAGTCATGTACATTCTCTTATCTCCACTTTTCACCACACTTATCTTGAATCTTAAACTAACTTGAATGTTGGAGCGATAACCATTAAAATCCACCATGCGCCGTCGTATAGGAGATCAACATCGTCGTTCAAGATCATTAGTTCTCTAATTACATCCATTTTTGGTTCATGAATAAAACACCGTATAATCACATTAAAGAAATACATCTTTTGTCCATGTGATTTTTATAGTTTCTAAATCTGCATAATTTTTCACATATTGAACAAGAGAGTCTTCTTAAGAATAACATATCTCTTCTCATGCCTTCTTAGTCCATACCCAAAAAGAATCAAAACTTTGATTGATTTCCTTCCCACCACAATGAAACATGTTTCACATATGATAAAATAAATAAATAAAACTTAGATTTTGGAAATGAACATGAGACAAAAATAAGCAATAAAGCTTGAGACAAAAATAAAAAAATAGCGTGATAAAACTACCAACAGTGACCAAAGATTGAAAACAAGATTGCCTTACACTTGGCCAACGTGGACAGTTACACGTTGCGTATGTTTGTTCTCTCCGTCTTCTTTTTTAAACCACACTTTTTTTCTGCCTTAAAAAAAATCAAACTATTAATTATAATAATAATAATAATAATAATAATAATAATAATAATAAAGAAAAATAAAGAAACGTATTAAAAAAAGCTTCTCCATTAAAGAAGAGAGAATCGATTCATCTCTTCAAGTTTCTGATCCTCTTTCACTTTCAGGTTACTTTTTCTTTCATCACTTTCCATCACTACCAATTTCTTTGCATTTTTCAATTTTATTATTATTATTATTATTTTTTTTTACAATTTAAACTAATTATTTTGGTTATTTGATTGATGAGTTTTTTTGGTTATTGAAGGGGATTTATTTGACGATAAAGTTGCGATTTTGTGGTAAAACTCTGATTGTCGTTGTCGTTTTGCTTCCAAGATGGAGTCGTTTTCAAGAATATAGTTTCTGGACAGGAATCGCGGTTCAAATTCGGTATTGGGATTTTCGTTTAATAGGTTTCTTCTTAGTGAAATTGGTTTCTCCTTTTGTGGAATTCACTGTGACCCTTGAAGGGTCTCTTGTGTTGTGATCAAAATTTGATTTTTGATTCAATTTGGTTAGGGTTTGAGGTTATATTTGTTGTTAGAATGGTTGATTCAATTGCTGCAACTTCAATTCTCGGCTACCGTCCGGTTTGCGGTGGAAATTTGATTAGGGATGTGTCTGGAAAGAGGAAATCTTTCAACACTTGCAGGTTTCCACCAGCTGAGTTTCTTGGTGGGAAGGTTGTGGTTTCACTGCCTTTGATTAAGTCGAAGCAAGACGGGTTCTTGTTGTCTTCGTCGATTAAGGCTCTTGCGTTGGAGCTTACGACAGAAGTGAATGCGTATAGAGAAGATAGATTGCCGAAGAAAGGGAATGGTAAGATTGATGGTGGTTTTGATCGGAGACCTGATTTGTGGCCACCGGAGAATCGAGCTGATAAGCCTTCGCTGAGAAACCCGTTGCTTCGACAAGAGAGGATGGGGTGTGGTTGGTTGGGTGCTATATTTGAGTGGGAGGGGGTTCTTATTGAAGACAATCCGGATTTAGAGAAGCAAGCTTGGCTTGCGCTTGCGCAAGAGGAAGGAAAACCGTCTCCTATGGCTTTTGTGATCAAGAGGATTGAGGGTATGAAGAGTGAACAGGCGATTTCTGAAGTGCTGTGTTGGTCTAGAGACCGGTCTGAGCTGAGACGAATGGCTGATAGAAAGGAGGAAATCTACCAAGCTTTACAAGGTGGGATATATAGTTTCATGCCTGGGTCGAAAGAGTTTGTCGGTGTTTTGATGCATTATAAGATACCAATGGCTTTGGTTTCTACACGGCCTAGAAAAGTTATCGAGTCTGCTATGGGGGAAATTGGTATTGTAGGAAACTTCAACGTTATTGTTGCAGCCGAGGATGTTCACAGGGGAAAGCCCGATCCAGAGATGTTTGCGTATGCAGCCCAGCTTTTGAACTTCATACCTGAAAGATGCATTGTGTTTGGAAACTCGAATCTAACAGTGGAGGCTGCACATGATGCACAGATGAAGTGTGTTGCTGTTGCTAGCAAGCACCCCGTGTATGAGCTTAGGGCTGCAGACTTGGTTGTGAGGCGCCTGGATGAGCTTTCAGTGGTTGATTTGAAAAAATTGGCAGACATTGAAACATCCGAATTTGGGTCTCCACAACCTCAGATGGAGTTGGAGGAAGATGATGACACATCATCCGACGACAGTTTCTGGTAAATCGTATAAATGTACAGTGGATTGAACTTCATCTGATTCTTGATGATATTAGTTACAGATTAGTTACATGTGTATATGGTAACACAAAATAGAATAATGAAAAAAATTGTCAAAAGTGGTCTGTATTGAACAATGATGTTACTACTTACTACTACTGTATATTATGTTCATACATGCATTGGATTTTAACATTTGATTTGCTTGCGTTTTCATTTGCTCTTGGTCATTCCTCCTTGTATCTTGGTTACTTTTATTTATAAGTTTTAGCAGCACAGTTCTACATTTTTCTTCTTTCTTCTCCCTGTATTTGTTGGGACATGTTTGCTGCATGTGAGTTCGGAGGGGGAGTTGAACTTCAAAGGGCTAGGTAGTGCTCGGGAGAAGCCATGGTTGGGGTTAAATATGAGGAGGATGAGGTTGTCATTGTGAGAGGGGTCAATGATCAAATGGCAAGAGACTTGCTTGTTTTGGGCGGTGGTGGCAAACGATGAAGGATTTGCTTGTTGCTTGAAATGGGATGGTAGTGGTAGCAATTTGGAAGCTGATTTCACTGCCTGTTTCAAGCATCATGCACGTCATTTGATATCATGGTTCCTGGAATACAAGGCATGATTACAGATTAAGTGATTTGCATGTGCATATTCAGAACCACTGCAATATCATGAGTTAATGGGGTTTTTTTTCGTTTTTCTTATTTTTTTTATCATATATTTAAAGTTTTAAAAATTTATTTGTTTTTTTGATTTTAATATCATTATTATTAGTAACTATAAAATATATTAATTTATAATATAAATAATATTAATATAATTAAAATATTATTATTAGTAACTATAAAATATATTAATTTAAAGGATAAAATTTTTTTTTTAATAATTAATTTAAGATTTATTGAGTCTTTAATATTTATTGAGTCTTCTTCTCATTCACCACAACCTGGTAATGAAACTGATCACACAATGAATCATACGAAGACCGAAATTTAATTTGTATTTTTTTTCTTGTTGACTTGATTGTAAGTTAGATTGTTTATTTTTTTTAATTTAGTTGGACAAATAATTATTATTATAAGTTAGATTGTCTATTTTTTTTAATTTAGTTGGACAAATAATTATTATTAACTTGGTCGTGAGAGTCATTTTTAATAACGTGACTCTAGCAATACTTGTTACTAACTTTATAACCGTTTTTAGTAATTGGTTGTTCTATGTAATTGAATTTATCTTATTTAAATTTAAAACATTTTAAATTAAATTTTAATTATTAAATTTTGGTTATTTTAATATTTAAAATTTATAATGTTTTAAAATTTTATTTAAACTATAAAATTATTGATTATGTACTTGAAAAACATTATAAGTTTTCATTTTTGTTTTATTTTAAATTTATTATTAAAATAACTATAACATAAATTTAATATTTTTATATTTACAAATTTATTAAAACTAAAATTTGTGATTTATCTGTGGTTATTTTATGCGGATTTATTTGAGGATCTTTTTGCCAAATATATTACTCATAATGGTTTTAGTTGGTAATCAAAAAGTCAGAAAAAATTATTTTATGCAAAGATTTAGTTAAAATATAGAAAAGGTTGTCCTAATAATTTTGACTATCTATTTTGATTGTATTCTTAAATTATTTTAATAGACTTCAGTTTCTAGTTTTTGTTAAAATATTGTACTTTTAAAGTAAGGGATGTGTTTCATAAAAAAAAGAAAAAGATGTTACTTATTATTTTCTATGTATTAGACTTATTAATATAATGTAAATAATATGCTAAAGTTAATATTTTTAGTATTTTCTAAACAAATTATCAAGTGTGTTACAATGACATTATAACATTTAAAATTTAAATAATCGTGAAATTCACATCATACTATTAACAATTTAAAAATTGAGCATTTATAAATTTCAATCCACAAAAATGATAGAGTTATTTAGAGAATCAAAAGTATATTTAATTGAATTAATAAGTCCGGTGTTAAATTGCTCTCTAATAATACTAAAAAAAATTTTCAACAACTTCACCAATGATCTTTCCATGCCAAACGGTTGAACATAAGATTTACCTTTCAACCATGAATTCGAATGTTGAACATGTTATTCACCTTTCAACGGTGAATTAGAATGTTGAACATGAGATTCACCTTTCAACATTTATGAACTATCATGTTGAACATAAATATAACCTTTCAATGATTATTATAAACTTTCGAACGATGTCAAATTTTAATTTTTCATTAAAAGTTTTTCGTAAGTTACAATATGGATATTTGGGTCTTAAATTTTTTTGATGCCTAAGATAAACAATATTTCTTTCAATTTGTAATTGATGGAATTATGTATCATCTTTACCTATAAGACACAGTTTATCTATCATTTTTGTGGATTGAAATTTTTAAATGCTCAGTTTTTAAATTGTTAATAGTATGATGTGAATTTCACGATTATTTAAATTTTAAATGTTATAGTGTCATTGTAACACACTAAATAATTTGTTTAGAAAATACTAAAAATATTAACTTTAGCATATTATTTACATTATATTAATAAGTCTAATACATAGAAAATAATAAGTAGCAAATAAATTAATATATTTTATAGTTACTAATAATAATTATATTTACATTATAAATTAATATATTTTATAGTTACTAATAATAATATTTTAATTATATTAATATTATTTATATTATAAATTAATATATTTTATAATTACTAATAATAATGATATTAAAATCAAAAAACAAATAAATTTTTAAAACTTTAAATATATGATAAAAAAAAAAGAAAAACAAAAAAATTGGAAACACTAAAAATTAGCCACATTCGCCCATTCATGTGGCGACAACACATTGACCAATTCCCATGGACGCCTTGAAACAACATTTTAACTAATTCGCCCAACCATTTGGACGAAGGCTTGCTCAATGAGTTTCAAAGTTTTTCATTTTAATAATTTTTTTAAAAACTTGTTTTATTTAATAATTAAATTATATAACATTGCTACTTTAAAAAAAAATTCTCAATTTGGATCTTAACATCTTTTCATTTATGACAAAACTTTTAAGATAGGTAACTTGTATAGCATAATGGCAAAGCATTAGGCACCAGAGGAATTAAAAGCATGGAGTAGTAATACCAAATTACCAATAAACAATTATTCAGCATTGCTTTGTTGACTGTCACTTTACAAGTGTTACGGTCTACCCAATTCATACATTTGAATTCGTTGCATAAGCTTTCTAATGATAAGAGTGAAAACGACCTCTATTAATTTATAAATAACTTTTAATATATATAAAAATAGTTTAAGTTTATTTTATCTTTTTGTTATACAAATAAATTATACAAATTTATTTATATATTTTAATTAAGTTTATTTTTTCTTTTTGTTATAAAAATAATTTATATAAATTTATTTATATACTTTAGTAAATATAGCAGTTATAAACTCTAAATAAACTCTTTATCCATATAAGTTCATATACTTATTCAATTTCATATATTTTGTTTTTTGAGTAAATTATTTTACAGTAAATTTAAATTACATTTTTTGCTCTATAATGAGTATTTATTTAAAATAAAATAATATTATAAAATATATAATTCATTTTAATTTATAATATATCTTTTTCTATTTTACTTTTTTATTATTTTTATTATTTTCAATACATCAAAATGGTATTTTAGTAAAAAAAAGTTATTCATTTTTTTTAACATGTGTGAAAATATCAACTAAATTACTCATTATGGAATGAAGGGAGTAATACAATAGAATACCAGTCTGGATATTATATACATATTTGTTCACAAAATGTAATAAAATAAAATACAAAATGTAATAAAATAAAATAAGAAAAAATAGAATAAATAAAATTTATTCACAAAATGTAATAAAATAAAGTAAAAAAGATAGAATAAATAAAATAAATATTTTGAATGAAGTAGTCTAATTGACTTAATAAAAGATATATGTAGTAGATAAAATGAAAACAGAAATAGAGAGAAAAAAAATACATAATTGCAATCTATTTTAACTACAGGTATTCGCGGTTACTGTTGATTATAATTTAATTAAATTTAATATTCAACCTAATCAATAATATTTGATTTAGGTTGACAATTCAACCTATACTTTTAAGATTAATCTCGAATTAAATTAATTTGTTCTTCATTCACTTGGGTTGGTGGATCATCCATTAAATACAATTTTTAAATTTTAAATAAAATATTAATTTAATTAACACATTTATTTCACAAAAATATTTTAAAAAATCATAAAATTTTAATAAAATATATATGTTTAATATTTAAAAACTCTTTTATGATTTATCAAAAACACTATGAATCGTGTATAATATAATTTAAAAATTTATGATATATCTCTATTTAAATAAAAAATAAATTAAGTGAGTGGATTTGCGAATTAACCTATATCCATAAATAAATATCTCTAATTTTAGCATAAATACGCTGATTCAAGGTCATCCACTAATACTATAAAATTAATTATACCAGAAAAGTGTAAATGTAAATGTTATGTCTATCCTTTAATAAAAAAAATCATATGGAAAAAGTAGGGAACGGATCTTGAATTTGACATTTTCGTGTTTGGAAGAAGTATTGATAAACAAGTTGAATTAATATATGGAAAATAATGAACAATTCTTTGTATAGAAGGTTATTTATGATATTGTGTAAAAGAAATTGTATGACAACATTCTCGGGAGCATGTCTATAAAGACATGTTTTATCATGATTCATAATAATTGTATATATATTTATTTTGATTGTATATTGTGTATATATTTTTTATCGTAGCATTTACCATGTTTTATTTCAAGGACATGTCTGTATTTGGATCAAAATGAGATGCCATTGGTGGATGACGATATAGGGTGAATGTGAAGTCTATCAAGCAAAGAGAAATTATTGTGAGAAATTTATTGGACATGATTGGTATGAATTTGCGAAAGAGAAGAAGTTTAAGAGTG